AGTCCAGTGGCATTAGCTTGACAAGTGAGAGTGCTCTGGAGTGAGGGCACCTCTCTCTGTCACCCGTTAGCTGTGGCCGACCCTGCATGTTTGTGTGCTCTTTTGAACTTTGCACTCTCGGGCATCACGCCCAGAGAGATCATCCCACTGGCCTCAGGAGAGCGGTGAGAGACACCAGGAGCAGAAGCACTGTCACCTGAGTGAGCTCAGCCTACACCTGCCAGCCTGCAGACACCTCTCCAGTGACAGAGCCTGCGGGTGAGCACAGGAGGCAGGAGCTAGTCAAAGGGGCTGGAGGGAAGAAAGAGTCTCCCTAATGTAAACGGTGTGGCAGGAGCTGTCACAGCCTCACAGGAGGGGACAAAGGCTGTGCTGGGGTGATTCTCCCTGTCACGTCATCTAGGGATCACCTCCACTTAGTGAACGGGAGAAATCGGATGTTTGGAAGTGCTGGTTGGGGCCTCTGCATAGAAAACTACTCACAATTTTTTTTTTTTTCCTCAGAGAATGGATGATGATCTCTACCACCTCCTATTAACATCTTCCTGAAGACCCACGTTAACAAATTCTATTATTTACCTCTTCTTGCATAACAAATCACCCCCAAATTTGATAGTAGCTTAGGACAACAAGCTGTTTCTGTGCATGGGGCCTTTGAGACGGCTTCAGGTCTCTTGTGCGATATTAGTCAAGATGTCAATCACCTTGGGAGCCTCTCAGAGACCACCAAGCGGAGGAGATTCAGCATCAGATTAGGACCAGACAGGATTGGCTACTTCCAGTGCAGCTGCATGAGGAAGCTGCATTTGATCAGGGAGTTTTACAAACATAAACTCCGACACCTCCTCTCCGTCTCTCAGAGAATCAGGCTCAGTCTCCTGGGAAACTTCACACTTGAAAAATGAATAACAAGGTTTTCTTGAATAACAAGATTTCTTGCACAATTAAATAATTCTACTTCTTTTTTATGAAATTTTTTTTTCTTTTTTTTTTTACCCGTTGATAGACCTTTATCTATTTATATGTGATGCTGAGAATCGAACCCAGTGCCTCACACATGCCAGACAAGTGCACTACTGCTGAGCCACAACCCCAGCCCACTAATTCTACTTCTTAAAAATAATGTCTTATTGTTTTCTGGTAATGAACAAGACGTGCTCTTTGTCAGCAATTTGGAGATTAAAAAAATCTTTCAAATAAAGAACACAAAAGGCACCTCCATTCTATCATTAAGAGCATCTCTAAGAAACACTCCTTTAGTTCCTGGTGGATACTGGGATACACCAGTAAGCAGCGTCCATGGTCCCACTTTATGGGGCTTTCAGCCCAGCAGGAGGGAAGACCTTGCTCTGTTTACTGAATTTCACTCTAGTCCTCTCCCAACCCCACTCTGTGTGTGATCCTTCTTTAAAATGTTGGTAAAATACCAGAACAGTTTGGTGTGGTGGTGGAGGATGGACTCCCTGTCTTCTGGTGAGGGCGATTGGCTAATTCAAAGGATAGGCACAGGGTTCAGCAGCAAAGGCCCCACCAACCTCACCAACATCAGAGCACCTCAGACCCACCTGGGCCCCAGACCACCCGCTTGTCTGAGGACAGGCAGCCAGATGGGAGCTATCAACAGAAGAGCCCTTCCCGCCTGCTGTGCTTGTCTTCACACTAGTTCCAGGAATTGACCTGGCAAATATTGACCAGGCTGCTGAGTCTCCAACACCATTTTTCTGTGGCAGGAGGACGCGCGGGCTGAGGACCTGGGCCCGGCTTGGTGATAAGGCTCTGTGAGTACTGGGCTCTGCCGGGAAGGAAGGCAGGCGGCTGTCACCGCTCTATCCCCCTCCTCCTCTCTAGTTCTCTGTTTCTCCATCTCTGGCTTCACAGGTAGGGGTGGGAGAAGTGAGTCCCCTCGAGTTAGAATGGAATGAGCACTGCTTCTGAGTCTCCAAGTTAGAATTTCAGGTTTTCAATGACCTTTGGCATCCAAGACTTTGGACAGAGGAGCTCCGAATATTCCTGGCAGATAAGACCACAGCAAAGGACAAAACTTACTAGAAATCTTGTGATGGGAAAAGAGGCATGCTTGGAAGCCCTGAGCTGGACCCGAGTCTTTCTCCTGCCTCTTACCAAGTGTTTGTCCTGCCCTGAGCCTCAGTTTCCCCAAATGGACAACTGGGCTAGGAATCCTTGTGCCTCAGGGTTCTCAGAAGGATTGAATCTGACACAAAGCAGGTGCTACCTGCATTTGGGAAGGACCATTCTTCACTGCATGCGACCCTTCTGGGCAGTTTAAAGCTTCCATGTGCCCAAATCTCACCCACTGAGTGCCAAGAGCACCCCCATTTCTTGTGGTCGATATGACCAAAAACACCACTCACCCCCACCTCTCCCATCCCTCCTCTGTAATTTACAAACACATCTGTCTGAAAAACAGCGATACAACATACCTAATATCCCCAGCCCTCTAAACACTTAATAAATGAAATGTTATAATGAATGGGTAGGGTTCTTCGTTTTCCTCTGGGATCTTTCTAGAAAAGGAGCTATGAAATGAACTGGATGTCATTGCACTCAGCCTTGGTGGATGGGAAGAAAACCCCATGACGTTCTTTCTATGTTAGATGCTCTGCGTGTCTGTCGCATAAGCCTTCACCTGCCCTGCCCGGGAGGGGACTTTGCCTGCATTTTTCAAAAACTGACACCGTGTGAAGGAGGTTTCTTTGCGCAGCAGTGAGTTCCTGCAGAGCCTTGGTTGCAACCCAGGCCCCACTGGGAAGTAGACGTCGTTTTGCAGGTCAGGAAGTTCTTGGGGTGCCACGGGGGCAGAAAACGGTGCTGAGTTCAATGGCATAGAAGGGATAAATGAGAAGTAGTTTGGTCACTGCTGTGCTTCTGATTTTACCCAGGACAGACCAAGTTTTAATTTTTTTTTTAATTTATTTTTTTTAGTTTTCGGTGGACACAACATCTTTGTTTGTATGTGGTGCTGAGGATCGAACCCTGGTCGCACGCATGCCAGGCGAGCTTGCTACCACTTGAGCCACATCCCCAGCCCCCAAGTTTTAATTTGTTCTGCATCTTACAAATTTCCCATCAGAAGGCAAATCTGAAATGTACAGGAAATGTCATTGAGCCTCCCCCACTGAGCTGTGCGGAGGGAGGGAGGACATGACCTTGGAAAAGTGCCCATCACACTTTGACCAGCAAACGCGTTTCGACATTAACAGAGGAGACAGCATCCGTGCCTCCCGGCAGCTGGGCTTTGAATAGTGGTTGGGCAGAGCGTTCAGGACACCAGGGCCGAATGCCACCTGGAACGCTACCCTCCCCAGCACTGCCACTACAGCTGTAATTTGTCCAGAGGTCATTAGTTTGGGCAAAGAGTATTCAAAGTGCTGATTAAATCACCAGTGTTTTCAGGACAATCTACCACAAGGCACCAGGGGGTCAGAATTTGGCCCCCACTGAAGGAACAATGGAAAGGGTGGTTTCAAGTGGAGCAGGAGGACATCAGGGTCTGCAGGATCCAGGGGTCTGTGCAAGGGCAGGGGGACATGAGAGGGAAAGGAAGGTTTTAGACACAGCGCAACACGGTGCCCCTCCCCTGCACATCCTGCCTGGAAGCCAGGGGTCTTCCTGTTCCTGCACCACCGTATCCCCTAGAGGTGGACCAGCGTTTCTTCCGGCATGTCTTATAACCAAGAGGTGTCGTACTCGTCTGCAGGGGCTGCTTTAACAAGCTGTTAAAGTGCTGCATTTAAACCACAGAAGCTTTTGCCTAGCAGCTCTGGAAGCTGAAGTCCAAGATCAAGGGGTGGGTAGAGCTGACTCCTCCTGAGGCCGTTGGGAAGAGTCGGCTCCAGGCCTCTCCCCAGCTCCTGGTTACTGGCCGTCTTTGGCTTTGCTCAGTTGGTAGGATATCACCTGCAGTCTGTCTTGTCCGTGTGTCTCTGTGCCTAAAGCTCTTGTTTTATAAGGATCCCAGTCATACTGGATTGAGAGCCTACTCTAATGACCCCATCTTAACAAAATATATCTGTGATGATCCTATTTTCAAACAAGATCCCCTTCAGGGGTCCTAGCAGCTGAAGGTTCAGCTTATAAATTTGGAGCAAAAGCAAGTCTACCCATGACAGATGGTTCCTAAACCTCCACATCAATCAAAGACGGAGGCTCCAGCCACTGCACATGACAGACAGCAGAGTCTTGATGGAGATGTGGAGACAGATCCATGCCCCCTCCTCTCCTCCCAGGACCCATCAGTCCTGTCGCTTTGTCCTCGCCCATGGGCCCCTCTCATCTGCGCCACCCGGTGGGTGACCCTCACATCCAGCTAAGGAAGGATCAGGAGGGCCCAGGGACCCCTCTTTCCCGTGGGGCTGACACGAGGCTCTGCACATCATCCTTTTCCTTCTGGAAGATGAAATTCCAGGTTAAGGCTGTGCGTAGGTGTGAGGCAGGCCCAGTGTCACTCATTGTCACAGTGTCCTGACCACTTGTTCCACAAGCCCTCTTCTCCATTTATAGTAACATATACATTTGCTCATTTAACTAGTGCAGGCCACTCCAACTGGACCTGAAGCTTGTGGGGTCGGGAATTGGGATTTTTTTTTCTTCTCCCCACTCGATATTCAATACCGGGTTTATTTCCTGAGTCAGATAGATCCTTGAGAGGAAATGGAAAGAAGGAAGGAGGAAGGAAAGAGGGGGGGAAGGTAGAGGAGATAGGAAGGGAGGGAGGCAGGGAGGGGAGCAGGATAAACTATGGAAGACTTTTTTGTAGCCCGGAGTCCTTTACTCAAAAACCTCTATCGCACGTGGAGCAAAGAGAGGGCTGCTGGTCTTCCCCAAGCCTGGGAGGACTGTCATCTACCACTGTCCTCTGCAGTGTGCCAATGGCACCCTTGTGGGACAGTCTGAATGGTGGGGTTGATGGGCAAGCAGGGGGGCAGATGAAGTCACTTGTGAAGGGGAGGACTGACGTGTTCGCGTCTTGCTTTCAGAGGATGGGGCCGGCTAGGCTGTGGCTGCTGGGAGCCGGGATCCTGGCCTCTGTCCACTGTCAGCCCTTTCCTGCCCATGGAGATAAGAGCCCAGGGGCACATCAACCCCCCGGCCATCAGCTCTCAGAGCCAGCTCCTGCCTACCACAAAGTCACACCCACCATTACCAGCTTTGCCTTGCGCCTGTACAAGCGGCTGGCGGCGGGCACCCCAGGAAATATCCTCTTCTCGCCCGTGAGCCTCTCCAGCACCCTGGCCCTGCTCTCCCTTGGGGCCCAAGGTGACACCTCAACACAGATCCTGGAGGGCCTGGGCTTCAACCTCACAGAGACCCCAGCAGCCGACGTCCACCGAGGCTTCCAGAGCCTCCTCCGCACCCTTGACCTGCCCAGCGCCAAACTTGAACTAAAAGTAGGGAGCTCCTTGTTCCTAGACAAGCGGCTCAAGCCTCTGCAGCACTTTTTGGACAGCACCAAGGAGCTGTATGGCGCTTTTGCTTTTTCTGCCAACTTCTCGGATCCGGCTACAACCTGGAGGCAGATCAGTGAGTACGTGAGAAAGCAGACGTACGGGCACGTCACGGACGGCCTGCCTCAGTTCAGCCACGACACACTCATGGTTCTCTCGAACTACATCTTCTTCAAAGGTGAGGGCTCGCTCAGACACAATGACTGCCTCCTCCTCCGTGAGTAGACACTGTCACCGCACAGAGGTGACCAAACATTTTTTGCCAGCCTTGGGCGATGCTATTAGCCTCTTGGGAAAATCTGTGAATGACAGCTTTCCTACCCTTGGGTAGCTCATGTCCCACGTGGGTTGGAAGCAAGTAGCGGCAACAGAGCTCAGAGGGATTCGTGCTTTCAGGCGGGTGTAGGTGCCCTGGAGCTCTCGGAGGAGATGAGCATCCATGCAGACTTGGGGAGCAAGGGGAGGCTCCCCAGAAATGCAGGCCTCTGAGTGGAGATCTGAAGAGTGAATTGGATCTGCTCAGGTAAAGTTTCAGAGAAAAGAAAGACCAGGAATTCCAGTCTTAACAGTAGAGTGACATGATCACGTCTGTTTAGAAAGAGCAAGTGTGGCTGGGCGTAAAGGTGGGACCTGACCCAGCTACTTGACTGAGATAGGAAGCAGGAGTTTTGAGACTAGCTCAGGCAGGACAGTGAGACCCAGATTTAAAAAAACAAAGGAGCAAGACGAGCCTGGATACAGTGTGGAAATGGTTTGGAGTAAGGATGGGAGGGGAAAGACATGTTAGGCGTTTCTCAAAGTGGACCAAATCCGGGTGACGCTAACCTTGATAAACCTGTAGCTTTGGAAGTAGAATCTGCAGTATTTGGTCACTGATTGAGTGTCTCTGCATAAGCTGGTCATATAGGGGTCGCTGGGCTGAGGGCCTATTCAAGTGGCTTGGAAATAACCTGAGCTGTGCCGTCAGAATCAGGCCACTGATCTCAGCTCAGATACTTCCTGGCTTTGTAAATGGCATGTTTACAGAAATTCACAAGCCTCAGTTTCCCCATTCCCTAATAGGGGATGATGACACTTGTTTCTTGTTAATTTTTGTGATGATTTAGAGACAATGCCTCACCCATGGAAGGTGCTTAGTGGATGGGAATGCACTGTGGTCTCGAGAACTAAATTCCTCTGAAAGGAAGCCCAACCATAGGCCCTGGAGCTCAGACTCTGCTGACACGCTAGTGGCTAAGCCCTGGCCTGGATTCTGGCCTCCTGGCTCTGCCCTCCTGGCTCTGCCCCCAAGCTACTTCTTCACCTCACACTTACATACCCAAGAGAAAGTCACCAGGCCAGTGTGGCTTTGTAGACAGCCGCCCAGAATCTCTCTCCTGGGACGTGTGCTCATGTGTTATGGGTCTTGTGTCCTCAGCCAAGTGGAAGCATCCTTTCGATCGCTACCAGACCCGGAAGCAGGAAAGCTTCTCCGTGGATGACAGGACCTCTCTCCGTGTCCCCATGATGCAGCAGAGGGAGATGCACAGGTTCCTCTATGACCAGGAGGTGGCATGCACTGTGCTGCAGATAGAGTACAGTGGCAATGCTTGGCTGCTGCTGGTGCTCCCTGACCCCGGCAGGATGAGGCAGGTGGAGGCCGCTCTGCAGCCAGAGACCCTGAGAAAGTGGGGACAGCTGTTCCTGCCCAGGTAGGTGCCACATGGAAGGGTTCCAGCAATCTTTGCTCAAGAGCGGAGCAGGTCTTGGTCAACTCCTGTCCCCGAAGGCTAAACTCCAAGTTTGACTCTGTCTTGCCCTTTACTGACTCTGGGATCCTGGGCAATTTTCTCTCCTCCTTGGGCCTCAGGTTTCCTCTGAGGCCTTGATTCCTCCTGAATTGCACTGCTTGGAGGATTAACTGAGTCCATAGTTAGACTGATACCTGGAACCTAAGTGCTCACTAGGTGTGGACCATGATCCCCCCACCGGGTGTCCTGACCCCAATCTCATTTCCCCTGGCTTTCCTCCTTCTTCACATAGTAATTTAATATCACACGATAACAAAGTGTCACCAAAATACCAGATAAAGGACGATTATTAAGAACAATCATTAGGTAAAGAAAATATGGTATATATCCACAGTGGAGTTGTACTCGGCCATGAAGAATGAAGTTACGACATTTGCTGGCAGATGGATGGAACCAGAGAAGATGATGCTGAGTGAACTAAGCCAGCCTCAGAAAGTCAAGGGTCAAAGGTTCTCTCTGACATGCAGAAGCTGGAGAGAAAGACCAAGAAGACACCAGTGGCACAGAGAGCGTCTGGCACCTCGGGAATCTTAGGAAGAGAGAGAATATTGGAATAGAGAAAGGCGACCGAGGGGAGGAAGGAGGGATGGGAAAGGGGAATCCTGTCCCCTCTCACTTGCTTTTAGATTGTGTTTTCCTCACTGCGGTTGCAGCTTCTTCTGATTCCCGAGGTCCCCCTCCCTGGCCCACCCTTCTCAGGATGCGTCTCCCTTTATGGAGCGACCTGGGATGGAATCTGGTCCTGAAATCTAGATACCTTAGCTGCAAAGAAACCAGCCCCAAACTAAGCAGCCCGAAGGCCAGCTGTTGTCCCTCACGGCCGGGGTTGATAGGGCCAGTCGCCTGTTTCCCACTCCTGGGGAAGATGGGGGCTGGGCTGGAGCCATCGAATGCAATCGAAGCCTCCTTCGTGTGTGTCTGGATTGGGCTGGGTTGGCTGGAGGGGATCCGGGCAGGGGCCGGCTTCTCTTCCTGCAGTGTGTCCCCCAGGCTAGCCTGAGCGGAGCAGCTCAGTGTGACACTGTGTGGCCCCTCGCGGCTCCAAGGGAAGGGCCCTAAAAGGAAGTGAAGGCTCGTACCCTCTGAAGGGTTAGGTCCATAAGTTAGCAGTGTCCCTCCTGCCGTATTGCACTGGCCGGAGGGTCACGAATCCCACCCAGATTCAAGGGGAGGGCTCATACCCACCATCTCAGGGTGGCAGTCCCACATGACCCAGTGGCTGCCAGCCCCTCCTTGTGCTACTGGTGTCTTCTCTCAGAGCCCCACCCACACCGAGGCATCAGAGTAGAGAGAGGCATTATATATTTGGGCAGAAATTAAAGCACCCAGTAAAAGAGATGCGGTCAAGGGGAAAGGCCAGGATTTAAGGAATTTTCTGAACCCGTAAAGCTCCAGTCAAACCCGGATTCCAGCCCCATAGTTTTAGGTTCCCGCAGGGTGAGCCTGCCCCTGTCTCCCACTGCAGGAGGGAGTACCATAGAATCTTCTGGATTGAGTAGATTTTCCCTCAAAAAGGGTTTGCTTTGACTTCTCGAAATGAGTAAAACTCTACTCATTGTCCCCCTCCCCCTCCTCCTCTCCCCCACCAGTGGCCTGGGGCTTGCCCACCCAAGATCTCCCTGTGAAAAATGTGTCAAGAAGGCCAAGATGTCCTTCCACTTCAGTTAGCCCCTGGACCCTCCTATGGCCTAGGGATTAAACTGGTAACAATAATGATAAACCCAAGTTTGATCTTCCAGAGACATAAGTTTCCAAATTAGTTATTAACTAGTCAAATCCGTAGGTGCCCTGGCAATCATCGACCAATGATTAAGAAAAGAATAATCCCAAGGAGAAAAGGATGGATTTACTGTGGGTGGGAAGAATCTTCTGTGTTGACCCCAGGAAGTGTGGCCATCTGACAGCCCAGGAGGCCCAGTTGCAGGAGGGAGTGACCTGTTTATTTGTGACTCACATTTTGCACACCTGCTGTGCCACGGGATCCTCACAGCAGCCCGTGGAGTGGGCATCTCTGCGCCATTTCACAGCTCAGACAGCGGGGAGATGGTGGTGGCCTGGGCGAGGGGAAGGCCAAGAGATGGAGTGAGGACACAGTTTGGAGATTGAGCCGCAGAAATCGCAGGTGAATGAGATGCGGGGGTGGGAAATGTTACCAGCACTGACTTCGCACAGCCATCTGTGGATCCCATCAGTGAAGCCATTCAAAAGCCCACTCCGGAGAGCCTTCCACAAGGGGATGGAGAGGAGGACAGGGGGCCATGTCAGGCGCCGTCGCAGGTCCAGCCCCAGACACTCCATGAGGGCTGCAGCGAGAGAGCTCTGGCTAGGGAGGTGGAGTGTCCCCCACAGCAGGTGTGTCACGGGGGACTGCTCGCCCCCCACACTAGGAAACGCTTGTCCCTCCACGGAGCAGGCTGCCGACAGACGGGCAAGGGCAACACTTACAAGATGGTACATTTCTCTGATTCTCTCTGCAGCCTGCTCGACTTGCACCTGCCGAGGTTTTCCGTTTCCACCACATATAACCTGGAAGAGATTCTTCCCCAAATCGGGCTCGGCAGCATATTCAGCTTGGAAGCAGACCTCTCGGGGATCACTGGGCGGCTCAACAAGACCATCTCCAGGGTAAGGCAGTGGAGGTGCACGGGTAGATGCAGGGCCGCTCCCTTCTCACATGCTGGGAAATCAAGTCCTCCAGTCTGTTTCCTATGCAGGGCCTGCAAAATTGAAATCTTTATAGCTTCCTTTCATGGACAACTCCCTTCCCACCTCCCCTTCTCCTAGATCTTTGTTTTCTGTGCAGGAATAGTGTTCTGCATAGAGCAGGTACTCATTAGAGGTGATTCATGGGACCATAATTTTCCCAGGTGTGGGATAGCTTTGTTTTGATTCCTAGTATGTCCTCTTACTGGGGCAGCTGTGGGACTCTACCTGCCTTCGTTATGGCTATGGGTAATAGTGGGACAAAAACAGGAGGTATATCATTCAGCTTTGCTGCGGTAACAAACAACCCCTACATCAGCTACATATCTGCTTCCCATGACTGCTTCCCTCAGGGATATAGGGGAAAGGAGAAGCCCCTGTCCTCTTCTGTTCTCACAGAAGAGGAGGAAAGCAAGAGAAAAAGTGCAACAGCTCATTAACACTTGTCCCCATGCCTGGCCTGTGTCATGGCAGTGCCCAGGCCATTTGCTAGATTGGGTTCCACTTTCATGACCCCAGTCCATGGGGATGGGCCATGTTCTGCACTACAGGTGGCCCCACAAAACACATGGAATGGGCAAAGGTTGACAACCCTCCAACAGGAGGGGAGAGCTGATATTTGGGAATAAGAATGCAGGTCAATAAGAATGCAGTGGTCTTTGAGGACAGAGGCTGCCTGCTGGACACTGGGGAGGAAGCTAGATTAGGTTCCACTTCCATGATCATGGTCCGTGGGATGGGGAGACAGTCAAGGCCCCTCTCTGAGCTTTGGTTAGGGGCATGGAGTGGGTGTGTGCATGTGTGTGCATGCGTGTGTGTGTGTGTGCACGCACATGCACCTCGTTGTGCAGCAGGAGGGTGAAGAAGAAGGAAAAGAACTAGTCAAATGTCGTAAAGAGGCTTTTGTACAGTACCTTTAAGAGCTTGTCTTTTCCTAGAACCTTTTGGAAATAAAAGGGAACATCAAGGCCATTTTTTTTTTTTTAATCTAGCTTCTTTTAAAGGCTCAGAACCCTTTCTTCCTGAGAAGTTGTGTGAAATGAGGTTAGAAAAGAAGTTCCTCTCATGGAAGCCAGTGGGGGGCTGGGTGACCCTGAGCTCTTTAGACACCTGAGGTAGGCTGGGCGGGGGCCTCCAGGCCTGGGCCTGAGGCTTTGCAGCCGGGAGAACACAGGTGGCCCCAGTCAGGCTCAGGCCCATTTGTCTTTCTGCCTGAGGGTGACGTCACTTGTGGGCGGGGGGGGGGGGGGGGGGGGGGGGGGGGGGGGACCCTCAGGAGAGAGAAAATGGAGAGAGAAGGGAATGAAGCCAAGGCTGGAGCAGCTTCCTAGGCAGGCAGGGCCCTGGGGCCTGATCAGGTGGCTTCCTCCCCAGTGTCCAGCAGGCAGCCTCTGCAAAAAGGCTACTGAATTGAGCCGTCTCTGACTCTTCTCTCCTTCTAGGTGTCACACAAGGCCGCCGTGGACATGAATGAGAAGGGAACCCAGGCAGGGGCCGCCTCTGGCCTCCTCTCCCAGCCCCCGCCCCTGAACACGACGTCGGCCCCTCACGCCCATTTCAACAGGCCCTTCCTGCTGCTGCTTTGGGAGGTGACCACCCAGAGTTTGCTCTTTCTGGGAAAAGTCGTGAACCCAGTGGCAGGGTGACGGGGGTGGGAGGTCCCGGGGGTCCTCTCTCCCCACCAAACAGGAAGGCTGTGCCCCCTGCACTGTGGGAGGGCAGACCAGCTTGTGGGTGTGCAAAGGTGCTAATAAAGTTGGCCCTGGGCGTCACGAACCCCGAGGAGCCCTGCTGAGGAGGGAGGCCAAGTCCGTGAGCAGCCCGAGCCACTCACCCTCCGATCTGCTCAGCTCCGGGGTTAACTGTGGCTGGAAGGTTGGAAATGACGATAGCGCTCATGTTGTGGCCTCCAGGAGACGTTGCCACCGCCATGCCAGGCACTTTCCAAGTGTCCTTTGGGAAAGGGTCACAATAAAAGGCCCAGAGGACATAGGAGGAAGGAAGACACCTCCCCCTTCACAGTGGCTGTTCTGCGCTATCAGCCACGTGTCGTGCTCTGAGCTGTCACTGCTCAGGAGTTGTCTCACCTGGAGGGAAGGCTGGCCCCGGAGAGGGCTCCCCGCTACATGCCATGGATCGGGGAGAGGAGGGGGCCGTGCAGTGGTGGTGAGCCTGGGGGAAGCCAAACGCAAGCAGCAAGGAGACAAGAGGAGCCCAGGGGCAGCCCCAGGCCCAGGGAAGCAGGACGGTCAACATGGCAGGACGACAATGCAGACAGGGTGGGGGAGAGTGGGGGGCTGTGTCCAGGGAGAGTGGGGGGCTGTGTCCAGTGGAGACAGAGCATCCCCTAGAGATGGAAGCTCAACCCCCATCCCAGGTGTGCCCCTCAGAAGCACCATCTGAACCCAGCGGAGGAAGCAAGAATGGGGTGTCCACTTATCCACCAGAGCTCTCCACTGTGAGAGGGGACCCCAGGCACCAAGATATGTTCTGACCTCTTTTCTGGATCTTTTAGCATTGAAGAGCAGTGTGTTCGTCTTTATTTACAGGGTATTAGAAACCAGTCTGCTCTAAGACCAAAAGAGGGGTGGGGTCTGGAAACACCCTGTCCCACTGCAGTCCCCAGCCCTGGCTCTCCAGCAGTGTCCCAGTGGTCATGTAGGAGCAATATGCAGAAGGAAAGTGGAAGTGCAAGGTTCATTAAACCCCGGGCTGTGCCTTTGAACCAAGATCATTTACAAAACCCTCCTCCATTGACCCAAATCTTGGGTCTTTCCACTCTGATGAGCCAAAATGGGAAGCAAGGTGCAGGTGGGTGAAGGAAGGTGGGTGGAGACACAAACAGAAAGCAGAGAGAGAGAGAGAGAGGAATATGTTTACCCTGTGCCCACGCTGAATGTGGGAAGTGACCCGGGTAAGAAAGCAAGCCATCCTCCAGAGGTAGAGAAGGGCGATCCTGCCAGCCCTGGCCAGCTTGACCCACTGTGGTAGTATATGGAGGTGTTAGCAAGGGGACAGTCGACCTCTTCCTGCGTAGGGACAGCCAGAGACGAGAACAGAACACATCCAGTTCAACCCACAGGTCTGCGGGTCAGCAAGCTCAGGCAACGTTCCCAAGTCCAAGCCCCAGATTCAGCTTGCGGGCTCCCAGTGGGAGGTCTGCAAAACATTCAGGTTCCTGAGTGATTAAGTAACACCCAGAGAGCCTGGGCTGGGAGGTCCCCCGACTTCAACAGCATCTCCAGCAAGATGAACAGTGCAACCCTGAATCACCTGAGTGAGTTGTGGAGCTCTGTGTGGGAGGGGGCTGGTTCTCAGAGTAACTCGAGGCCTTCAGATAGCAGGAAGCTGCAGCCCACTTTTGATCGCACACCCTTTTCCTGGAGAGAGCCAGTGTACTGAGGGATGCTGGTCCCAAACCCACGGCCCACCACCAAAGGCGAGCCCTGCCCCCTGCTGGTTGCAGAGGGTCACTGCTCTGGAAGAGTCAGTGACCCCCTCCTCTTGTTAGGCTGGATTGAGGAGGGTCATAAGAGGGTACAGTCGCCAGATAAAATATAGAGCATCCAGTTAAACCTGAATTTTAGTTAACAGCAAATAATCTAGTATAAGTATGTCCCATACAATATTTGAGCTTTACTTATACTTAAAACGTTTCTGCTGTTGTTTATTTAATATTTGAATATCGCGATGTCCTGTAATTTTATTTGCTAAATCTGGAACCCTAGAAAATCATGCATATGGTCAACACTCTTGAGTGTGTTGGAAGGAAAGAAACTCTGAGGATGCTAAGGGTAGACTGGCCCAGGCATCTGGACAGAGAAAAGAGAATCCAGAGGACAGAGCTGTGAGGAGGAGCCAGGGCAGGACCCTTGCTTCTGCTGTGAACAAATCCAGGTTGGCTTGCTGAGGAATGGCACGAAGCTCAGCTGCCCCCACCCCCAGCCTCTTGCCACACTGGGGATGAGGCCATCCTCCACCAGTGACTCCAGCTGACCACCACAGTCCATAGCCAGGCCAGGACTGCTTAGCTGGACTGCAGGTTCATGAGCTCAATATGTCCTCAAATGTCCATCGCTTTGACCCGATACATTTTGGGGTTGTTTGTTATGCAGCAAACAATAATTGATACCAGAGAAAAGAAAGGGGTCCTGAGGATGGGCTTTGGGCCGTGTAGCCTGAGAAGGCAACATGATGAATCATAGCACCCAAGGGCCACGTCCTGTCAGGTCCACTGTTCTCTCCAAGGACTGAGCAGCGAGTCTTAGACGTATCCAGTCCCCAGCACAGGGACCCTGCCAGCCTGAAGGCCCTTGAGCAGGGGCAGGGAGCCAGGGGTGGGGCTTGATCGAGGGTAACCACCCATTGGTTCACCACCTGAGCTGTGTGTCCTGCTCTGAAGATGGCTGGGCCATTCGACACCTTTCCTGGCAATTTGGAATTGGGGGCTTGTGGATGTCGTCACAGAGCTGTAGAACTACAGCCAAAAAGTCACAGATCAGTCATTCAAGGACACATGTGAAATGTTCAAAAGAAAATGGAGCAGATGCAGAGAGACCTTGGGAGGGAGAGCTCAGTTCCCACCCTCAGCACTGGCCTGGGGCTTTGCAGGGGGCCATCAGGGTCCAGGGAGCTGACACATTTTCAGGCTGGTGCAGGCAGAGCTGTGTTCTCAAAACACAGGGCTGCTCACAGGAGCCCAGCTGCAGGACATACCAGCATTTGTGGAAAGGTGGAAACTGGTGAGTCATCCGACAGCTCTCAGTGTCTCTCCCACCCCACCCCAGTGGCCTCCATCTCAATGCCAGTTATCCTTCCGGCAGCTCTACCTGCACAGGTGGATGGGATCTGTCTACAGGGCTCCACATTACTGCAGGAGACCTGCATGAATCCCTAGAAAGAATTTGGAAGAATTTAACACAAGATGAGAATGCACCAAAAAAAAAAAAAAACATTAAAAGAAGTATTTTAAAATGCAGAAATGGATATCATCAATCACTCCTGCCTGTGTGTCCTGAGCTCAGATCTCAGTTCTTGGCTTTTGATGCAAAGAGAAAAAGTTCTAAGCTACCCAGAGCTTTCAGGGACAGGAGACAGCGGAGCTCCGGGTGCACCTAGAGATGCATTTTCTCCCTTCTTAGAATCTAAGGCCAGTTGGGTTTGTATTCACACAGTCCCTCCTGCTCTGCTGTGTGAGGGTGCAGAAGTCCTGTCTTCACGATCGATGCTCCCAATGGCTCTTTGAAGGTCAAGTATGTGCCAGGATATCCAACTTCATTGGCCAAGTTGACAAAGTGACTTGAACAAGTGGCTTCTGAGTTTGGGACTAAGGCTTCAGGCAAGCAAGAGAAATAGGAAGCTGCCGTCCCTCAGAGAGCTGTCCCCGAGGAGCAGTGGGTGCCGGGCTAGTGACGTCATGGGTGTGGTGCCACCCATTGTGTGGCTCAGGAATGAGACACAGCCACTGGGCAGTGAGGGCTTTTCAGCTCGACAAAAGCTGCCTTTGTGGATGTCTAATCACGAGTCACACGTGACCATCGTACTCACTTGTACAAGCCACGACAGCAACGTGAAAAGTAAACTGTAGTCATCCAAAAATGCACACCTAGGAATGCATCTGACCGGCTCTTGGTTACATATTTTTTCTTATAGAAATACAAGTGATGCTTTAAAAATACACAAATACTTAACCAGACGGGATCCTGTTGTGATAAATGCTTTTGACTTTCTTTGTCATATTATTTTAATGACTTTCACATTCCATTGTTTTAGGGGTGGCATGTGTTTTTCCTTTGAAATTCTCCTTCGATGGACTTTTCAGTTGTTTTTATATTTTTAAACACCAAGAAGTGCTGGGAGCCATTAGCCAAGTAGGTATGACAATTTCCTTGCCAGCGTACCCCATGTTGCTGACATGTTGCAGCGACATTGAATGTAGGTGACCTTGCTCAAGGACCAAGGCAGATTAGGGTGTTCCCGGTTTTAAGATAATCGTGTTTAGGGCGTTCCCAGTTTAGGTTCCAGGTTTAAGGTTTAAGATTATTCCTGCTGGGAATAGGGCGTATCCTGCTGCCTGAGTTCCCCTTGAGTTCTCACGGGATTCAGACAGTATATTTGGGAGATAGAAGCCCAGAGGAGGTGGATTTGGGCAGAGAACATGGATTTCCCCAGAACGTGATTGTAGACGGCTGGTGTGAGTTCGGGAATAAAGAGTTGCTGTTTGAATCTACAAGCTGTGTGGTGGCTCGTGATTGTGTGCCCAGCCAGACTGCGGCATTTGTGCCCAGCCAGACAGCGGCATTTGGCGTCCCGTGCGGGGAACTTCTGAAGCTTAGAGGTAAGTGAAATTTCTCGCTCTTGAGGAAGAGAGAAAGAATGGGTGAACATTTCAAAAAACAATGTGTTATTGTTTTGATTTATTTTGTTTTTATTTCAAGTTGCCTGTTCCTAGAACTTTCTCAGGCAAACTGGGGAAAATGGTTGACTCAAGGTTTGAAGTTGTTCACCTCCAAGCAAGAGAAATTGTTAGAGGAAGGAGGCACCCCAGTAAGACCAAGAACAGTTAGGACATATGTTGATACAATACAAAAATGTAGCCCATGGCTTTTTAAAGACGAGTTATTAAGTATATCAATGGGACCATCAT